TGTTACATGCCCAGTTGGGCGATGTACATATAAACCGAGGATCCGCAATGTGATAAAAAGGACTGAATGGACAACGCAGTGCAAGTGGAATCTCAACAAGTAATATGCACTCCGATACATACAAAATGGTGCTTTATAGCGCAGGGAAGACTTTAGATACAAGTTCTGACCTGACCGGGACTGACCTCTTTCACGTAGTACAAGGGTAGCGAAGCAGAATGCTAGAATACTACTGACTAGCCCAATCAATGTTTCAACGTAGACCAAACATACATCACGTTCATCGCAAGGTGTGAAGGGGCCTGGCGCTGTACCCAGGAAAGAGGCGCCAGGTCCAGACGTACACAGACGAAGAGGAGGGGACCAGACAAAGAAGAGGAAGGGGGAGATGGGAAAGTCGTCAACACCAAGTCTCGTCACAAGTCCCAAATAATCCCTCTTCAAAATGTCTGAAGTCCAATGTCGATCTTGATCGAAATGTCACCAAGCTCTCTATCTCTCTTTCTCGTAGTCTGCTGATGCAGTGAAGTCAGATAGCGAGAGGGTGAGAAGCAGATGGTGGACTGAGAAGAGGAAGAAGAAGAAATCTCTCTCTCTCATATGCCAGGTACTAACCTGTGAAGATGGCGCTGTGCTGCAGGTACCTTGAACACAAAGCTGGAGCAACGGCGCTGCAGGTAAGTATCCCTGGCCTCCACCCAATTTCGCTCTCCCTAGTACTACTCTAGCTATGGCGCCCAGCGCTGAAGACTACAACTAACGCTACCAGCGCCCAGCGCTGAAGACTACTGCTAACGCTACAACTACTCCTGCAGCGCTCCTCCAGAGTGCTGCTGCCGAATCCTGAAGACTACTGACTGCCTCCTGCCTACCCRTGAAGTGCATGGGAAGTCCCTATGTACTACCTCGGCCTGCCTCCTGACTGCCTCCGACTGCCTGCAGTTGCAGGGCGGGCAGTCCAGGAGGCTGCTCTTGCCAATGCCAAACTGAGCCAGGGTCTGGCGCTGCAGCTGTCGTGGGAACAGGCCAAAAATAGCCTGTTCCTAAAACCCTTTTTTGGTGCCTGAGTTTCAGGGCAGGTCGGTCTGATGAAAGACCGAAAATGGCCCTTCGTTTCAGGCTAAAAAGGCTACTGCCATTTTTAGTCTGAAACGACACAAGGTCTCTAGGCCCCTGTTTTTCAGGCTTTCGAGCTGAACAAACACGGGGCCTGTAGGCCCTGGTTTTCAGGCTTTCAGCCTGAGGGACGCAGGGCCTGGAAAATGGCCCTCGTGTGCAGGCGCAGCATGTGACATGTTGCCTGCTGTGTGCTGAATGTATGTCATCTGGTATGTACTGGGTTGGTGGCTCTGCATGTTTGTTGCCTGCTGCTCTGATGTCTGCTGCATGCATGTTATCGACCCTTTCATTCTGAAGAAGAACAAGACTGACAAAAAATGAAGAAGAATGACGAGGAGAAGAAGAAGAAGAAGAAGACTGATAAGATAAAGAAGAAGAAGAAGAAGACTTACAGACTGACAACTTGCAGGAAATCTTTGAGTTCTTCAGCAGCATAATCAGCTGAATATGGCCAATATCGATCCACATTCCAATCTCTCTCTCTCTCTCTCTCTCTCTCTCTCTCTCTCTCTCTCTCTCTCTCACACACACACACACACACACACACACACACACACACACACACCTATTCACTCCCACCTCGCTCTCTCTCACACACACACACAGACATACACAGTCAAAAACACACACACACACACACACTATACACACACCGACAGGTAAAAAAAATAAAAATACATAAAAATTAAAAATTAAAAATAAAAAATGCTCTGGGGGGGCCGGCCCCCAACCGGGTGCCCCGCCTGGCCAGGCCGCCTGGGACCTCCCCCGGGTCCCTGCCAGTCACCTGGGCGGCCGGGATCCCCACTCAGTTTCAGTTTCCTTTTCTGCATAACATAGTTTTGTTTCAGATCTTTTGGGTTTGTTTTTTTTTGTTTGTTGGGACCTTCCCTTGTCCTTGCACGGGCAGCCCGGTTGGTAGCCTAGTTTTTTTTTTTTGGTTTTGTTTTGTTTTCTGTTTTTGTTTTGGGTCCACGTTCGGCCCGAACGGCCGAACACATCCCATAGGGTTCCCATACATTCGGGCGTTCAGGTTCAGGCGTTCGGCGCGTCTTGAACGCCGGTTACCCTCTATATTTATATATTGTCACAGAACTATTGATTAAGAGCGTAAGCACGTGAAGTAGAAGAAGAAATAAGATGAGCGAGGAATATAAAAATGAAAGGACAGACAGGCAAAGACAAACCAGAATGACACAAAACAGTGTCCTCTTATTCTTTGTTTCACTGTATTCTTATTTCTTTCAGGGTTTTACAAAAAAAAATTACACTGAACAAGGGATAAAAATAAAAAACAAAGACACATTGAAATCATTCAGTTTCTCAGTCTTCTCAATGCCGCCTCCACCGTGGCTCTAACGTACAAGGCTCGCCCCGTTGATAAAGTTGAGCGCGAGCTGTTATTACCCCTCGCTTGTTGTCCTCTTCAGCATCTCTGCCTATGGTTTACTTGGCAGCTCTGTTAGGCAATATATGTATAGTTTGTAGTGATGTGACAATATATATATCCTCACGGGACGCTCCCGTCGGGCCCAGGAAAAACCCGGCGTGGAATTCCTCACGCGGTGGCACGGGCGACTGAGGATGAAAACGAGAGGAGCCTAGATTAAAAGAAAAAAAATAATTGCACGGTGGCACCGGCGGCTGAGGAGGAAAACGAGAGGAGCCATCGGGAACGGCACAATTTTTCTTTTTTAGCTTTTAATCATTCATTTCTTTACAAGTTGTCAATTTGAGGCCGGGGACCTCACAATTCAACACGTAGTTATCCCAACAGCATTAACAGGTTTCGCTTACAGCCTTCAGGGTTGAAAATCATTACGAAAGAGTTGAAAAGACTAATGTCATTCCACAATATTACATTCATAAAATATTGGTTTCCAAGCATGTTTCTCTCTATTCCTTTTCAAAAAGTCTCGTACATTCAATCTAGCATTTTATATTATCATTCTATATTTAATTCTCTCCCTCCACTCATGTACCAACTAACCAACAAAGCATACTTGTTATGGACCTGGTTATTTGTTGTCAGAAGACCAACACTCGCTCACATAGACTTTCAGGTACGCCCATACATACACAGAAGGAAGGGGAGAGGATAGGAGTATCACACCGCACAGGTTGAAATAAACATAGCTGAGGACTTGACCATGCGATATGACAGAGAACATTGAAAGTGCACTTTGCTCCACAGAATCCTCACAACCAGGCACAAAGGAAAGCCGAGTAGATCACATCCAGGAAACAATGAAGCGACGACAGTCCACACACAGTACACTGTTTATTAAACTCAGTCTCAAAATGTCAGGAGAACCCCAGAACCATGGTGCGCTGCTCAAAAATGAGCAGCGCTTCACTCTCCAACCCTGAGTAACCGCTAGAACTACCCCTGAGTCCCTGAAACATCAAGCGCCACCCAGATACTGCCTCCAGAGGGAAGCGCCACCCTGAAACAGGCCTCTGAGGCCAAGCGCCTCTCAGAGGATGAAGAAGAAGACCAGCACCACAGTGTCTGATGATGATGAAGTGCCAGATGACTTCCCGCGTGGAAGTCTGTAGCAGCACCTCTCCTGACAAAGATGCTCTCTGAGGAAGAAAGCTGCAGCTATGGCTGCAGCGTCAGCAGGGCACCAACTTCTCTCGCCTCCAGCAGACTTCGAATAGGGTTGAAAATCATTACACGCCTGCACTGAGACATCTTGTATTTCGACTTTGACAAGTTTCCTTCCAGACTGGGCTAAAAACTAATTAATGTGAATGGGGGTCGCCCCCAGGTTGCGTGACGTGTGTGTGTGTGTGTGTGTGTGTGCTTAGCCTAATTTGCGCATGCGCAATGGCATAGGAGTTTTAGTTCTATTATGCTTACAACATGGACCTTGTGCAGACCATGTGGTACAAGGATCAGCAAGTGATGCTGGTCACAACATTTCCAAACTTCCTAATCTTGATGAATAAGTGGAACCACGATAGAAAAGCTGAGTGAATTGGTATTGTTTGCATGTATGCATTCAATGTTTGGAGGCGAATCGTTAGAACGTGTCCTGTGACTCGTGTATTTTGCAAAGTGATTGTGACATTTGGTTAACTGCTCACCTCATGTTGGCTCTGAAAGACGAATGCATGTGCCACATCGATTTGCTCAGCAATTTGCAGTTGTGTATTTGAGGTATCACAAATATGTTTTTTTTCTTTAAAATAATCATTTGAACCATTTCTCAATTTATGCATGTCATCCTTGTGCAGGGGCCGTGCTAGTCTTCCATGTATCGTCCCGATGTTAACCGATGTCCCGGAGGACTCTTATGTGCAGTGATATCTTGGTAGCAAGAGGATATTTATGCGAATGACTCTCTGGCCAATGTTTATTGGGAGGTCTGCGGAAGTGTAGATGGCATTGCTTTGCAGGGCACTGGAAGAAGTACAATCATGAAGTCATTTGCATTGAGCAACACAGGATCCAGGTTGGGAGTCCATGGACCCTCGCCTCCCTCCAGGGTGATAAAAACAACAGCCAGGTGCTGCTGCTGCAGCAAAGCCAGTTACCGCCACCAAGTTATCAAGACTTCCCGTCCGCCAGTGCTGGTAAAAAAACCGGCCAGCCGCAGCGACTGCACAGTCAATTACCAAGCTCCTGCTGCTCTTTGGGGAAGACGGTCAGCTGTCCGGAACGTTGTCGAAGAACACCCTGCGCGGCTGGCAGGAATAATAGGTTGGTGGGCGGCCTGGCGAGACCTACTTTTCCATGTATTCGCCAGATACATCCTTGGATTTATCCCCCATGTCTCCTTGAGTGATGCGACAGGATTTCCCAGGGCAAATGGACAAGAGGAGGCACACAACCCTGTCCATCCCAGACAACGGAGGAAGGCAGGTTGCATAGTACGCCGGAAACTGAATACCAACAGCCTAAGGATTCAGGCAAAGAAGAAGGACGAGCAGGGAAAGGGTAATGGAGATGGGGTTTTGGTGGGCTGTGATTGCAATGGGGAAGTGGCAGATGTCTTGCAGAAATCAGAGGAGCTGGCACGGACTCGACAATTGGTGGAGACTGCAATGCTTGCAGCGACGGCAGGACTAGCATTCTTCATCACAAACCTTCTGCGACTGGAGGGGTATATAGGGTGTTTTCTTCCCCTTCCGCCAGTAATTGCAGCATTGCGGTGGAATGCTGCCGCCGGGCGAAAAACGATGGTAGCGACATTGCTATTGCTGTTCATCATCGGCGGCCCTCTGAAGGCGGTATCGTATGTGTTACTCCACGGCATGTTGGGCATGGTTATAGGAGGGCTATGGAGTTGGCATGTGAGCTGGACGTCCTCGTTGCTGCTCTGCAAGCTTGTGCGGATGTTGGGGCTGATACTGTCTGTGGCTATGTCGTCCTGGTTCATAAAAGAGAATCTTTTAGCATTGTTGATCAATCAAGCACATGCGTCGCTGGGGCAACTGTGTGTTTTCCTCGGAATCAATGCCTCTCCCAGTGTTTCCCTCATCATCATGGCTGTGTGCGCACTGATATTCCTAAACTGCATCGTCTTTGTGTTTCTGTTACATGTGCTGTACAAAGTAATCTTACACCGCCTCGGCATTCCTTCAGCAATTGAAGCGCCTGGATGGATCAGGTGATCATTAACGCTCTGATGCATTCTCAGTCTGTAGTCTATGGAGTGCAGTAGAATGTGCATAGT